TGGTAACGCGTAGGGCGGACGCTCCGTCCTTTCTCTAGCGCGTGGGGGCGCGTGGCTCAGTAGAATCCGATGGTCCTTCTTGAAACTTGTAGATCGGCTCCTTCTGTTTCGAATGGTGCGGATCTTGGTTGGAAATGTCGTCGGAAAACTTTTCCGACGACTGCTGACGGTGGTTGACAGCGGTGGAAAGCTGGGATTCTGCCTTCTACAGTGATTGGTAGCCTTACTTTGCTCTTGGGACTTTGTAGGAAGGGAAAATAACCTTAATAATGGTTGGAGGTTGAGTTTTCCGGCGTTGTGCCGTCGGTTTGACGGTGGTTGTGGTGGCTGAGTTTTCTCAGGACCAACCTGCTCTGATACCATATTGAAAAAGGTTTTCAGTATATCGATATTGAATAATTACATGAGGAATGAGGAGTATTTATACAAGAAAAAATAGCTAAGCATGACTCAGCTATGACTCACCAAATCTAATCACAATCATAAGAATGACTCAGCTATGACTCACTAAACCTAATCACAATTAATTCTAATTAATTACAATTAATCCTAATTAATTACAATTAATCCTAATTAATAGGAAATAAAAAACAATCAATCCTAATTAATCTTAATTATTCCTAATTAATAGGAAATAAAAACGGAAAAATATTTGAATTTGAATTCTGATTTTCTACGGAACTAACTCAATAATTAATTTCCTAATATAAAGACTAAACTGTGGTAACAAAATATTTTACTATAATTACAATGATTTATAGAGAATATTATGTGGTCAAGTGAACTTCAATATCCCTAGTGCTTTGATCTCAAATTCCCTAGCTAGAAATGGACTAAAGATCTATTTTTCCTTAAAACATCATTTCTAGTGTAAATTAAGCCATCACCATACACCAAAAGTGTGGTAACTCACTGAAGGAGAATATTTAACGAGCAATTGGTGATCTCCTTGGCTTTGCTTATATCCTATAGTATGCATAACTCTTGTGAATCTTGTAAATTTTGCTCGTGGTGACTATTTGACGCCATGAAAGCCTTGTTTAATTTATACACCATATTAGCATGCAAGTCCTTTCCATATTCTGGTGGAATCTCCGTATAAGAATGCTAACATAATTCTATTCGTATTTTTCTTTGCAACTGCTGCAAAGGTCTCTTGGCTAGTGTTAGATGGAAATTTTGTATTTAAAAGTGTTGTATTTGTGCTAACAAACACTGAAGTAGTATGTGGAATTCAAAGATCGTCCACAGAGAACGGTTGATTTTTGGTTCTTTTTATTTTTCTATTAAATTCTTGAATGGAAAGTAAACTCACTTTTAAACTAAGGAACAAATTAATCTAAGTTTTAATCAGACTTCTATTTAACAAAAGTAACAGAGATATCTATATAACAATGCAGCAATTATAAGGTACTGAAATTCTTGAATCATGGATTTTTCCAAAGAAATTTGCATCCCTGCGTTTTATCACTGCTAAGGCACTTTCATCACAGAATTTGAACTACTAAAGCAATTTTATGTTGGAATTTTCCAATTCCAGTTTTAATCCCCAAAAATATCCTTTCCCTAAGGCCTTTTGATTCTTTATACAAAAATATCAAATTCCTCCTCTGGTTATCCCTAACCTCAAGGGTTCAATTAGTAAGAATGCATTCACTTGATTTCTGTAAAGAACCAATTCAACCCAAAAGCTTAAGCTATTGGGTGAGGCTATATTAATGGTTTTATATATCTCAATATGCCCCCTCACACGAGAGCCCACTGGGCTTGAAGGGTGGACAATGCACAGGCCCACCTACCTGTGCGAAGAAAGAAATTCCACTAGAAAGAAAGTGGGGGGCAGTGATGATCGAACTCGGTACACCGAGGCTCTGATACCATGTAAAGAACCAATTCAACCCAAATGCTTAAGCTATTGGGTGAGACTATATTAATGGTTTTATATATCTCAACAATTTCCCCATCACAGCTCATGCAAAAATGTTCAAGAATCTTTCCCAAGATTTCTTGAAACTAAGAGATTTGCTAATCAAATGAGATAAAAGAGCTTCACAATGTTCAATTAAAAATGGGTTTATCCAATCATCTCAAATTCTAGAAAAGAAGAAATTTAGCTAGCCATATTATGAAAAACAAAACTAAAGGTACTGAAATTTAAAAGAGACATTCACTGCACTTCTTCGAAAGAAATGATTGCAAAAGGTACAGACCAGTTGTTCTTCAAGGTTGGAATTGTTTAAAACTGAGGGATTAACAACAGAACAGTGACTTCACACGATGTGCTCGAATGGGTCTTCTTGAATCCCTTCAATGGTGACTCTTTCTTGTGCTTGCGTCTTCATATAGTTAAAAACTAAAGCTAGAGAACTCGAAGGAGAAACTAGAACTCTTAATTCCTGGCAACTGTAAAACTAAACTGACTTAAGTCTCTCATTCAGAAAGAAACTCCCCTACTTAACTAAAAACAAACACAGCTCCAAACATTCATTGCTGTCCATCCATGCCTGTGCTCATCCAATAGTCTTCAAGCCTCCAACTCAACTTCCCTATTAACATCGATCATGTGACACACCTGAATGACAAAATTAATACGGTTTTGTGAGTGAAATTTGCTGCATTATCATTTATTAGCCCAATTGCTATTTTGGGCTCATTTTCTTCACTTTAGGCCCATTTAACCTACAAATTTAGAAGTTAACAGCCCATTTCCATTTGGAGAACACCTCGCAAGGTTAAGTAATTTTAATGCTAACAGCTAGCATTTTGGGTATATCCTTTGGCTGCTAATCTCGTCTTATATCTTTCAATTGATCATTATGCTCTATACTTTCTTTCATGTCAGTAACTATACCAACTCCTTTGATTTGTTCTTTTCAGATGCTTCCATCTCCACATTCATAACCTGTTTTCGTTTTTCATTTGACAACTCCTTGGATGCGGTGGTAGGGTTGGTATTAGTGTTTAGGCTTATAAGAAAAACCATATAGGATGCTGAGAAATTCGTAAATGATATGAAATGTGCTAGAGGATATACGGGCCATTTTGTGCATTCCCTGGTTCCTTTTCTAGTGACTGTTGGTAGATTATGGTCTTTGCTATCCTATAACTTTCAATTTCACTTGACATGGTTAGACATTATTATCTCATTTGAAGGTTTTAAATTGGTCTCTTTTACAAGTTCGGGAGAGGAAATCTTCCTCCTTGTTAATGCTTTGCTTGTACCAAACCTTATACTCTCAAGAGCAGAATCTATTACAATTGGGGATTTTTCATGTACATGTTTGGTATCGGTGCACACATTGGTTTGGAATTGTTTCTTTTTAGATGAACTCTCAAGAAGATGGCTATTAGACATAAAGAGACTTGTAGGTATATAAAGACACATTTTAGGGCCCCTGGATATAGTTTTCCCCAAATGTGACTGTGATTTGAGGGACAAGATTGTTTGTAATGTGTATGTCAAGGTATAGAAAGGAAACCATGTCCATTGCACTCTTGAATCTGACGACCATATGGGCAAGTGTTTCATGACATGTGTTGTTGTGATAATAACTTCCCCCAAAAAGATTTATTGACATTTTTCTGAAATAGCTAGGCTCTGGCTCTTTTATACTTGTTAGAGATATTAATATAAAACCATTGATGTGGTCTTATTTACCTGCTTAAGAATTTAGGTGAAAACCACATTAATGGTTTTATATATTATATTTCTGTAACACATTCATATTTCTCATAATCCTTCACCTCACTATGTTATTTTGAGTTATCATCGCCTGTCTCCGTCGCATTTTGCTTGTCTCTCTTTTTTTCTTGTGTTTATTCCTAAGACTACAGGTGAGGCTTTATCGCATTCTAAATGGCGACAAACTATATGGAGATCTTGTGGAAGAAGTCTATATGAAGCAATCTCGTAGGATTGTTGCTCAGGTTGAGTCCGATTTAGTTTGTCGTTTCCGCAAGTCTCTATATTGTCCCGAACAGTCTCCACGTGCTTGGTTTGGAAGATTAGCAATGTTGTTCAGTAATTTGGCTTGACTCGGAGTAAAGCTGAGCACTTAGTATTCTTTCACACTGTCACATTCTCAATTGTTAAATTTTCTCTCTTTGCTTCTAACAATCTCTAGAATCTTTCTATTTTCCCACTTTCTCTTTCTACAATGGCTAGCTGCATCGTTGTGTTGATGCTAGTGGTTGCGTTGTCGGTGAGCTCCACCTTAGCTCAATCTCCGGTATTGTTGCCAGCTTTGTCTGTGACAAGGTTGTAAGTGGCCACTTCGCCTAAGTCTTCATTGTCTTTGTCATTGGCGGTTTCTCCTTCCACTAAGCCACCGATGTCCCTTTGCTTCGGTGGAGATTGGTCTTTCTCCTTCACCAGCCATCGTCAACTCTCCTCCATCTCCTCCTCTAGCTGCCTCTGAGTTGCCAGAGCAACGCTCCCATGTTGATCTTCACTCTGCCATCTGAAGCATCAACACTGGCAAAAAAATGGTGCCACGTTGAAGAGATTCACTGTCGCTGGATTTATTTTTTCGTTGTTTTTGCCGCTACTTTTTTGATGTAGAGAGAGTTGCTTTGAGTTCATGATTTTTTCTTTCTTTTAGTTTTTGTTATCATGATTTATATGGTATCAGAACTTATGTGACCAAGTAATCAAGAGTTCGATTCTCACCGCCTCCATTCTATTATTAAATAATTAAATAAAGTAGAGTTTCATAGCACGGATAGGTATGCCTGTGCAGTGTGAGAGGGCATGTTAGAGAAATAAAATATGTAAAACCATTAATGTGGCCTTCACCTTACAATTTAAGCTTGTAAGTGATATTACGGTAATGGTTTTATATTAATATCTCTAACAGTACTTATTATGTGCAATTGTAGGAATGAAATTTGTTATAAAATATTTCATAATATAGTTGATAGAATCACAATATTCACAACAGATCACAATGGATCATGATTTTCTCACATTTATGACATTGTCTGTTTTTTGTGGTTCTCAGGTATATAAGGGATCTTCTTTTGAATCCTCCTTCCTATAAGATTGCATCTAAAATTCAAGGTGATTTCTAGTATTAATAATCTTAATTTGTCTCTTAAATTAACTGTTGTGTTTTTTGTCGTATGTACGGTACATTAATAATATCATCATTGTCATCATGATATTCTATGCTTAAATTTGGACTCATTTTCTTCTCTTTTTTGTTTGGTAGCAACATGCAAACTTATGAGTACTGCAACATGCTCGATTCCTGAATTTACGTGTGTTTCTTCAGCAAAGGTTGTTATCAAGTTACTTCTGTAAATTGTGAATGAGCTTCAATGAAACTTGATATGTGTTATCCTATTTCCTCTTAAATAACATTTATATTTTTTAGAGTATCTTGTGTATTTATAGTAGGATATCATGTATATATTGTAGAATTAGTTAGTTATCAATTTAGGATATATATCTGATATTGAATCATTGTAATTGTTAGAAGTGCTAAAAATAGGATGATAAGAAGTTCCACACCAACAAATTATTCTTATGTTATAACTAGTTTATATGATAGAGCTTTCCCTGTGCTATTAAAATACATGAATTTCATCATATGCTTCCCGGTCCAGATATTTAATATGGTATCAAAGCGATACCATCCTCTGTGACTTGTTCCTTCACTTTTCCGCTGCAGAGTTCCCTAAAATTTGGAACTCTATGTTAATTACTTTTTCGTCAACCTTCTCATGTCATTTTTCTCGTTAATTTTCGATCTCTCTTGCTGTGACGTCCCTCTGGAAATTGTTCCAGCCAATGACAACTGTCCTGACCGTCTTATGCTATTTATTCATTCATTTGATCAATTGGCTACTGTCATTCTCTAGTGACTTGCAGATCTGGATCGCGCAGACGAGACGAGCCTATCCATCGAAAACCCAGTCCATAAGCCTTTTGACATTCCCTCATACGCGTAGTTTCTATTATGCATCCAAACTCGCCTTCCTCCTTTTTCCGTGAATTTGTCCAGTGCCGTTCGTTCGTCCACTTCAGATTCCTTTTGCCGTGATTTCTTTGATTTTGCACTGTTCATTGCATGTTTTACCTCGGTTTTTGTGTTCTGGTTTGACCCATGAACAACCTAGCCTTCTTGTGTTAGCCCGATTGTCCGCTTCTACGGTCCAACATGCCCAGTCTTTTCTCTCATTACATTTGGCCCATAGTTTCGTTTTTTTATCTCTTTTCCAATGCGCTCATGGCATTGTGGGGGAGAAAATTGGAAGTTGCACTCAATCCCATTGGATTGTCCCAGTTGCTGCCTGACCACGCCAGTCCTTGTCTCAGATGAATCCTAGCTCCGTTAGAATTTTGTCGTAGCTATAGATTGGCCCAGTCATACTTTGTCCTAATGGTCGAGTCTCCTAAGTTTTCATGTGGTTGAAGCTTTCTAACGTTGTTCTTGATGAACTTGGAGAAAGTTTTATTTCTTGCTGTGTATACTTGCTTATTAGGATATTTCCGCCGATGGTCACTCTAGCAAAATCTCTTCTTCCTGGTTCCTTCTACAACCTTTCTAACTAACCTAACCGTCTAATTGTTTTCCCCCTCGGTTCCTTCTCTTGTACTTCCAGACCCTCTGATCATTAAGCTGAGGTATAAGAATAGTCTTCTTCATAACTTGAACCTTGTCCCAAAGATCAAAATATGGAAATCGGGAACTGATCAGCCTTATAACCTACATAAAATTCCGAGCTGGGACACATAATTCCGGATGTATATGGGCCTGATCTGGTAATTGTAGCTTAAAAGCTATTGCCCCAACCTGTCTCATTACCAAATAGAGGCAATATTACTGAGCAGAAAGCTTGGGAAGAAGTCTGGATGGCATTGTCCCTTGGGAACGAGGTCTGATCTTGAGATACACTTGTCAGAATACCCACCTTCATTATCTGTTATTTGCTTTATGTATAATTGAGGAATGGGTTTCCATTCCAGTATGGGTTTCCATTTTATTCTAGTATAGGTCTCCATGCTTTTCATTATTAATGCTTGTACATTATTGCTGATTGTAATTCATTATAAATACAACATAGCTTCAGAGGGTTCTCTAAGCTATTCCAATATTTTTTTCTTCATGGTATCAAGAGCATGGTTCATTCTGGAACCAAAGCCACAGTGAATGTTACAGGTTCACCAACGTACAGGTTCAAACTTAGTTCATATACGTTCACCAACATACCCCAAAACCACAGTGAATCGAGATGGAAACACTCCCAGCCAACCCAATCCTCGACTACCACTGTTGCCCATTCGGAAAAGGAGTTTCAGGAATTTCTTCAGTTGAAAGCAGCAAAGCCAACCCAATCCTCGACTACCACTGTTGCTCATTCGGGTAATCCTTCAGTTTGTATTACTCATACGGGTAATAATTCCACACCTTGGATCCTTGATTCAGGTGCCTCTGACCATGTAGCTGGTAATCAGTCTCTCTTCTCTTCCCTTTCTTCACCTACTTGTCCTCGTTTTGTAACTTTAGCTGATGGTTCCAAAGTATCTGTCCGAGGCATTGGTGTTGTCTCACCCAATGCATCCATGTCATTAAATTCTACTTTATTTATACCTGGTTGTCCATTTAATTTAATTTCCTTGAGTCAACTTACAAGATCTCTGAAGTGTTCTGTAACCTTTTATTCTGATTCTTTTGTTATCCAGGACCGTGGTACGGGAAAGACGATTGGCATAGGACATGAATCACAAGGACTTTATTACCACCAATCAACCTCTCATGTGGCATGTGCTACTGTGGAATCTCCTAGTCTTCTCCATCACCGTCTTGGTCATCCCAGTTTATTAAAACTTAAAAAAATGGTCCCAGATCTTGAGAATCTAAAGTCTTTCAGTTGTGAGTCATGTCAACTTGGCAAGCATGTTCGGTCTTCCTTTCCTAGTAAGGTCAACAGTCAAACAACATCTAGTTTTTCTGTTATTCATTCTGATGTTTGGGGTCCTAGTCGTGTTTCTACACGAACTGGGTTTAAATATTGTGACTTTCATTGATAATTTATCTCGATGTACTTGGTTATTTTTAATGAAGGAACGTTCAGAGGTCTTTCCTATATTTCAATCCTTCTGCAGCGAGATTCATAATCAATTTGGCAAAACAATCAAAGTTTTACGTAGTGATAATCCCAAAGAATATTTTTCTGCTGACTTCTCATTGTTTATGTCATCTCATGGGATTTTGCATCAATCATCATGTCCGCATACCCACCAACAAAATGGAGTAGTCGAAAGAAAAAATCGTTACCTTATTGAAACTACTCGTACATTGTTGTTGCATGCTCATATGCCCCTGCAATTTTGGGGGGATGCTGTCTTAACTGCTTGCTATTTGATTAATCGTATGCCTTCCACTACTATCAATCATCAAGTCCCTATTCAGGTGTTAGACCCTCAAATTACCTTGAATACAGTTCCTCCTCGAGTATTTGGTTGTACTTGTTTTGTCCATGATCTATCTCCAGGGCGCGACAAGTTGTCCCCTCGTGCTATCAAATGTGTCTTTCTTGGTTATTCTCGATTGCAAAAGGGGTACCGTTGTTATTCTCCTCTCACTCGTCGTCAGTATATCTCTGCCAGTGTCACCTTTTTCGAAGACACACCCTACTTCACTTCAACCACTGATCCTATAGTAATCTCTGAGGCTTTACCAGTACCATACTTTGGTGGTCTCCCTTTGTCTTCTTTACAGGTACCTACAAATACTCAGCCTGATCATGAGGAACCCATCGTTTCTCTGCCAGATCATGACCAGCTTGATCCTCCCCAACAACCAATCATCACCTACCAGCGACGTTCCAAGGCAGCCATTCCTACAACCGAGGTAGTCATTGTGGATCCTTATACATCATGTCCTATCCCAACGGCTTTTCCTACTACGGACCTACCTTCCTCTACTGCACCTGCATCAACTCCTGGTAAGCCTGTTAGTGTTTCTCCTATTGCTATTCGTAGAGGTAGTCGTACCACTCGTAATCCTCATCCTATTTATAACTTCTTGAGTTTTCACTGTTTGTCTCCGTCATATTATGCATTTGTATCTTATGTGTCCTCTGTTCAGATTCCTAACACTGTTAATGAGGCTCTTTCCCACTCTGGTTGGAGGCAAGCTATGATTGATGAGATGATTGCCCTTGAGCACAGTGATACATGGGACTTGGTTCCACTTCCCCTAGACAAAAAGGTTGTTGGATGCCGTTGGGTATATGCAGTTAAGGTAGGTTCTGATGGCAGTATTGATCGACTTAAAGCCCGTCTTGTTGCTAAAGGATACACTCAGACTTATGGTCTTGATTATAGTGAAACATTCTCTCCAGTGGCCAAAATGGCATCTGTTCATCTCTTCCTAGCCATCACCGCTATTGGGCAATGGCCTTTATATCAGCTTGACATAAAGAATGCCTTCCTTCATGGTGATTTATATGAGGAGATTTATATGGAGCAACCGCCTGGTTTTGTTGCTCAGGGGGAGTCTGGACTAGTTTGTAAGTTAAAACGGTCTCTTTATGGGTTGAAACAATCCCCTCGAGCTTGGTTTGGCAAGTTCAGCACAGTTGTACAAAAGTTTGGGTTATCTCGGAGTGAAGCTGATCATTCAGTTTTCTATTGTCATACTCCCTTTGGTCGATGTATTTATCTGGTGGTTTATGTTGATGATATAGTTATTACAGGTGATGATAATGAGGGAATTTTGCGGTTAAAGGAGCATTTGTTTCAACACTTTCAAACAAAAGATTTGGGACGACTCAAATACTTTCTCGGTCTTGAGGTAGCTCAATCACAGAGTGGCATTGTGCTTTCTCAGCGAAAATATGCTCTAGATATTTTGGAAGAGACTGGTTTAACAGATTGCAAGCCTGTTGACACTCCAATGGATCCAAATCACAAGTTATTACCAAATCAAGGAGAATTGTATTCAGATCCTAACAGATATAGAAGGTTAGTTGGTAAACTAAACTACCTTACCTTAACTAGACCAGACATCTCCTTCCCGGTAAGCGTAGTAAGTCAATTTATGCAAGCTCCGTGTATTGAGCATTGGGATGCTGTGGTTCGAATCTTACGATATATTAAGAATGCTCCAGGAAAAGGATTGTTGTATGAAAAATAAAGGTCATGCTCAAATTATGGGATACTCTGATGCTGATTAGGCTGGATCACCCAGTGCCAGATCAACTTCAGGATTTTGTGTATTTATTGGTGGTAATCTAGTATCCTGGAAAAGTAAGAAACAAAATGTGGTTGCAAGATCCAGTGCAGAAGCTGAATATCGTGCAATGGCAAATGTTACATGTGAACTCATATGGGTAAAACAATTACTTAAAGAGTTGAAGTTTGGAGATACTAATCAAATGAGACTCTACTGTGATAATCAAGCTGCATTGCATATTGCATCAAATCCCGTCTTTCATGAAAGGACCAAACATATTGAGATTGACTGCCATTTTATCAGAGAGAAAGTCCTTTCTAAAGAAATCCTTATTGAATTTGTTAACTCAAGCTATCAGCTTGCTGATATTCTTACTAAGTCACTGAGGGGACCAAGAATACAATTTATCTGTGACAAGTTTGGTGCATATGATATATATGCTCCAGCTTGAGGGGGAGTGTCAGAATACCCACCTTCATTATCTGTTATTTGCTTTATGTATAATTGAGGAATGGGTTTCCATTTTATTCTAGTATAGGCCTCCATGCTTTTCATTATTAATGCTTGTACATTATTGCTGAGTGTAATTCATTATAAATACAACATAGCTTCAGAGGGTTCTCTAAGCTATTCCAATATTTCTTTCTTCAACACTCACTCCCCAGGCTGAATGGGACTGGATTGTCTCCTCCTGTTAGCGAATTTAGTCTTGTAGTCTGGATCCTGATGGGACTGAATGAGCTCTTACCAAATGAAACTTTTGCTGCTTAAGAATCTCATCGATGTCCATTAAATGCTTGAGCAACCATCTCAACCAAGGTCTCCCCACAAAAAGATTTTGATAGTGCTAGTGGCTGCTTGTCATACATATCTCAAAGGGAGTTTCATGTTCAGCACTATGAAAGCTAGTTCATGCCAATATTCAGCCTGTGGCCTTGGGTTGCTCTGAAACAAAGCAACAAGAGATAGATTTTCAAAGCGCGATTAAGCTCTTCTGTTTGCCCATTGTTTCTTATTGGTAAGCTGTATTCATGTTTAGTTGTGTGCCTTGTAGTCGGAATAACTCCTACCAGAAAGATTTTATGAAAATCAGATCACGATCAGTGATAATGGAGATGGGTATGCCATGCAACCGAACAACCTCCCTGATGAAGAGGACAACCATTATGCTTGCGGAGCATGGATGCCATAGTGGAATAAATTGGCCATACTTGCTTAACCAATCTGCCACAGACCACTCATAGTCTATATATATTAGCGTAGGAATTAATGACAATGATTCTGTTCTTTATATGCATAATATTAATTGATTCTATTGTATATACATGATAACATACCGTAGTCATCTTTGATACTTCAACATATTTACGTATTCTGTTAAGATGTTCTAACAATTCTAACACTGGCTTTGCTTTCAAAAGACAGTGAGAATAGCACCGAGTTATTTTATCCTAATTAATCTTGATTTAAAGAGTCCACTTTTCCACTCTGGTATCCGATACTCTGTTTTCAGTGTCTTTTATTAGTTCTTTGCCCATATTTTTTCTATCAACCATTTTATTGTTCTCTTATGCAATTGTTTTTCCTGTCTGGCTCTTTACTGTATTTGTGCAGCTTGTAAAGCTACTCGAATGGAGGGAGGCGAATCATGTTGAATTTTGTAGAATAAAAAACGTACTAGATGAAATTTTGCAGATGTACAGAATCTCTGAACTCAATGAAGTATTGAAACATTTAATTGATCCCACATGGGTGGCAACTGGGTTAGAAATTGACTTCAAAACCTTGGTGAGCCCCAAAATTTGGATTTTTTTTTTTTTGTTGCTTTTTCTTTCTCTTTGTTCATATCAAAAGAAGGGATATTTGCCCTTTTAGATGTGTATTGAGGACAAATTGAGAAGCAATTGTTAAAACCAGACATTATCGTTCCCATAGTGATGCCTATATTCTATTATATGCTCTTAAAGTTCAGGAATTGAATCTACGTTGGAACATTAAAGAGGGGGAACGTGAGGATAATGGAAGGAACTTCATGATATAAGCTAGTCACTAGTTAATTTTAGAGCCTGTTTAGATCCTCTCTTTTTTAAGCTAGAAGCTACTTTTAAGCTAAAGCTGAAAAAAAAAGCTTAAAGAAAAAGCTAAAAGCTATTTGGTGATTACATAAATTTTTTAGCTTAAAAGTTATTTAAAAACATACATTTCAAGAAAAGTCTCTCTTTTTCTCTCTCTCTTTATCTCTATGGCTCTTCATTTCAAATAAAGCACACAATTCAAGAAAAGCTGATAAGAGCTTAAAAAAAAGCTCCTCCTAGGAGCTTTTGGCTTTTTTATTCATCCGGGAAACAACCTCTTTGCAATTATTTGTAAGGGTAAGGCTACGTACAATGATTGCCTTCACCTTACACTCGCTAGTTAGGTTTAACGGGGAGTGGTTTTATGCTTTTTTATTCATTATAAAAAAAAGAGCTTTTCTCAAAACTTGTGTAAAGAACTTTGGGATACACCACTCCAAAAGCTAGCTCAAAGGGTGAGAGTGCCCAAGGCCTTATAAACTCCACATTAGTTGCTCATATAACCAATGTGGGACTATATATCTCAACACGCCCCCTCACACAAGAGCCCATTGGGCTTGAAGAGTGGACAATGCAATAGGCCCAACCTACCTGTGCTAAGAAAGGCCACAAGAGAAAGTGGGGGGCGACGAGGCTCTGATACCATGTTGAATATCATAGATACAAGAGGAAATGATAGTAATCCTTGTTGTATTAAACTACACAACATTGGTGCTATTATATAGCAAACCAATTGAAGAATACAAAGAGACACACTCAATGTGGGACTTCTACACTATTAACACTAACACTCTTAACACTCCCCCTCAAGCTGTAACATATAGATCATATGCTACAAGCTTGATACATAAATAATACTCCCATTAGGAACCAAAAACAACAATGCTACATCAACGAAATGAAATGACTAAGTACAACAAATCAACTGGAATGACCATCAGTGTGAAGAGCTGATAAAGAGACAGTGCTGGAATGGACATTAGAGCATGGATGGTGCCGGAATTATCATCGGCCAAGACAACTGAGCTGACCAGGACATCAACATTAAGATCCCTCTCAGACATTTCATTTAACAGTTGGTGAGCAGCCGTGGTTTCCCCTTGACTATGCTACAAGCTTATTACAAGAAAGACCAAGTAACATAACATCAAAATAAATCTCCTAAATGAGAAACCAAAAATCAACAATGTGCTAAAAATGGCGTCGAAATGAACATCAACATGGAAGATGCCAGAATGATCATCGGCAAAGACAATTGTGCTGGAATGACCATCAGCAACATGGACGGTGCTCCCCCATGTAAAGAACCACTTCAACCCAAAACCTTAAGGTGTTGAGTGATGGCCTTTCTAATGATTTATATTATTCTCTAACACACCCCTCACACAAGAGCCCTTTGGGCTTGAAGTGTAGATATTGCACAGGCCCAATTTTTGGCTTACCTTTTGTGCTTTTTATTTAATTCCACAAGTGGGGGGCGATGAAGATCGAACTCGTGACCTTATAGTCACTCAAGCTCTGATACCATGTAAAGAACCTTGGGATACACCACCCCAAAAGCTAGCTCAAAGGGTGAGAGTGCCCAAGGCCTTATAAACTCCACATTAGTTGCTCATATAACCAATGTGGGACTATATATCTCAACAACTTGTTTAGCCTAGCTTCTTTCTTATAAGGAGAAGAGAAGCTAAAAATAAGAGGATCTAAACAGGGACTTATTGCAATCACTAGCTAATTTATAGCAGTCAAATGAATACAGTTGGCTATATATTTACACGTGCTAAATATGCTGAAATTCTGACATCAATTGTATGTATGTAATACGTTGGTTTCTTACATGTCTGTCCAGCTAATGATTTTATGTATTTTAAAATTGCATTTCTCTGGAGTTCCATTAGAATTTTAGGCACTATTAAAAAAATGATGCTTCATTCATTTCTATCTTGGTTGATTTGTTTGCTTCAAATTGCCTTGGATTATAGACTTTTTTAAGTGTTTTTTCCAGGTTGCTGGATGTGAAGTTGCATCAGGTAAGATTGGTGACATAATCTCTTTGGACGATGAGAATGATCAGAAAGTTAGTTCCTTCTCTGCTATTCCTAATGAATTTTTTGAGGATATGGAGTCCACATGGAAAGGTCGAATAAAAAGAATCCACATAGATGATGTGTTTACTGCAGTGGAAAGAGCAGCTGAGGTCTTGCATTTAGCTGTAGGTCTCTGTAACTCAACATTGCTTGTAACTGTTTGCAAATAAAGTGTATTTGGAGAGATATGTTTATGTTTCATTTATGATGTCCCAACATTCTTGCAGGTTACAGAAGATTTTAGTCCTATTGTTTCAAGAATAAAAGCTACTACAGCCCCATTGGGAGGTCCTAAGGGAGAGGTATCTTATGCTCGGGAACATGAAGCAGTTTGGTTTAAGGGCAAACGCTTTCGTCCACATTACTGGGCTGATGGTCCTGGAGAGGAACAAATTAAACAGCTTAAACCTGCTTTAGATTCTAAAGGTAGGAAGGTAGGTGAAGAGTGGTTTACCACGCCAAAGGTGGAGGATGCCTTAACAAGGTATCCTTTTTTAAAGAACTGTGGAATCATATGTCATTTTTTTAATTTTCTCAAACGCTTGTCTCTCTTTTCTTAACCATATATGCTCTTAAAATAATGTTCAGGTACCATGAAGCAAATGCCAAGGCGAAAGCAAGAGTTTTTGAAATTTTGAGGGGACTTGCTACTGAATTGCAATCCAATATAAATGTCCTTGTCTTTTCTTCCACGTTGCTTATTATTGCCAAAGCTTTATTTTCTCATGTCAGGTTTGTAAACATCTTTAGTTGCTTCTGCCTGATTTTTGTGCATAAAATGCAATGGTATTTGGCCTTCTTGTGGTGCATTAATTTTTTGACAAGGTAGTATGGATTTGACTGAGCTATAAGTAATTAGCTGTCTTAATTTCCATAGATTGAATTTTAATATAATCTGAATTTTTTTAGTGTTTCGGTTGAAACAAGTTTTTATGACTGGCTTAAAATCTGTGAGAAAGCTGTGATCCTATCATTTATACTAGGTGGTTGAGCCATCTGAGGAGATCATTAGTTCTTTGGCTTGCTGAGTCAAAAAGGGAGTTGGTTAGAGAAGAATATTCCAGAGGCTATAGATGTTAAACGCAATTCAGTCAGGGATTCGGGGTCTGGTGGGAAGAATGCTGGTTAAGTAAGGAGTGGGGAAACTCGTGGATTATCTCCAACCTTAGGCTGGATTGGGATTGGGAATGACTAGAGTCTCTTTAATTGCTCTAGATCTATCTTAATTTTCTGTCTCTGTTTTCTGTGTTTTTCCTTTGTTAGAGTATAATATAAACCATTAAAGAGACCCTTACCTAACAGCTTAAGTTTTGTAAAGAACCAATTCAACCCAAAAGCTTAAGCTTTTGTGTTGAATTGGTTCTTTATATGGTATCAAAGCCTCATGTCCCGGGTTCGATTTTTGCCGCCCCCATTTTTTGTGTGAAATTTCTTAGCACAGGTAGGCTGCACCTGATGCATCATCTACTTTTCAAGCCGAATGGGCTTTTTTGTGAGGGGGCGTGTTAGAGTATAATATAAACTATTAAAGAGGCTCTCACCTAACAGCTTAGCTTTTGGGTTGAATTGGTTCTTTATACCCTTAATTTTCCATCAGTGGCACTCCTACCTTATACCATTCTAATATACTGTACTGTTACAAGATTCCATATCAATGCCAAATTTCGTTAGTTATGTTCAATTACTTGCGAAGTTTGTTGATATCTATCAAGTTGGTATTAAAGCTCTCGATTTAGGAGCTGTGGTATCCGATTTGAAGATTATAAAGAACCAATTCAACCCAAAAAATTAAGCTATTAAGTGAATGCCACAGTAATGATGTTATATATTATATCTTTAACATGCCTCCTAATATAAAAGCTCATTGGACTTGAAGAGTGAACAATACATAAGTTTTACAAATAGTATATACTAGTTTAGTGTGAGGGATGAAGTCCCGTATTATGTATATCTCTTTGTAATTCCTTTTTATTCTGTTATATATATAATTGAGCATCTGTTGTGTAGTTGCAACGCACGGATTTCAGTATATGCCTCTCGGTTTCTGGTATTTAACAGTAATAAAGAGCATATTCTATTTGTACATGAATACACATATTCAAAATTCTGCAATTTCTGGCAGAATCATCAATAACAACAACATCAATATCACTTTTATTCGAAACTAGTTGGGGTCTGCGGTCGATGAATGTAAATAAAAAGTAAGAAAAGATTGAGGAAAAAGAAAATAAATAAGAGAAAAATAAAATAAAATAAATAAAAAAAGAAATACATAAATAGATAAGTAGATACGAAATCATGTCAAACTAAAATATTGAATTGTCAGTGACAGAACTGCTCTTGTACGACAGCAGTTAGCTCAATCGGTTATCTAGAATGGGAAGGCAGCGTGGAAACTGTGCTATCAATCATGTAGCGGTGTATGTTTGCTAGTCTTGGGTTGTTTATGGAGAATGTCGCATTAATTGGAGAAATTTTATGGAAACCATTATTTTTATGAAAGCAAATAAAATATACAATGAATACAGCCATTCTCATTTGAAGGAAATTTTTGCAGAAACTGACTTGAAATTGTCTTAAACTATTACATTTTGAATGTGATTATGTTACATTAATCTACTGTATTTTGAAAATTAGGCTTGGAAAATGTATAATATCAAATGCTATCTTACTTATATCATTAGTTTTCTCTTTGCAGTCTTGCAAGTTCTATGCTAATTTTGTTCATTGGTGTCTTGCAGTGAAGGGAGAAGAAGGAAATGGGTATTTCCTACACTTGTAGAATCCCATGAGTTTGAGGTAGTATATAATGACTTGATGTGGTTGCTTCAAGACATAGGATTTTCTATTATTATTGTTCTACTATGGTGCTTCCATTGAATATTCTGTACTTTCCATTTTATATGTCTCATTTTTTATAGATGAATAATGTTTATTAGGAGAAAAGAGGAAAACTACAACTAGGAGGAAGATAAGGTGTCCCCTGAAACACAAAAAATTCTAGATACAAAAGGGAACCTCGAGAAAAAAGAAGCATGTATAAATAGCCCTGGAAACATCTAACTCAGCACATCATTTGCTACACTGAAAATAAAGGAGGTTATGGATCCCCTTTTTTAATATGTCGAGGGCCAACTCTATTAAAAAAACCTTAAGCTATTAGCTAGAGTGCCAAGAATGGTTTATATAACTTGAAGACATCGCAGCCCATGAAACCTGGCTGATGATTCACATTTATTGAAAAAAAGTAACAATAGAAGAGCGACCTAAAATATATATGTAGGAAATCAGGATTAAAATCTTTCCCTTTTTATTTTTTGGATACAATATATCCTTGATTTATAGCCTGTTAATTAGTGATTAATTTTTTTCTTTAATAGGAATTTGAATTTTGAATTTGCTTCTGTTTATTTTCTCATTTACTCTTGTATAAATACCCCCTATCAGTGTAAATCAAATTTATTAATTTTCAGAAAAACTATTGTTTTACATCTTTCAATATGGTATCAAAGCAGGTTGTTCCTGAGAAAGCTCAGCTACCACAACCACCATCAGACTGGTGGCACATCGCCAGAAAACTCAACCTCTAGCCACTGTTAAAGTTGTTTTTACCTCCTACAAAGCCCCAACAACAAAGTAAGGCTGCCAGACACTATAGACGGCCAAAATCGGTCGAATCCCAGGCATCCGCCACCGTCAGCTTTCCGACGACCTTTCCGGCCAAAACCTACAATTAGACTCAAAAGGAGCCGATCTACAAGGTTTCAAGAAGGCCCACAGGCATCTGTCATAACACGTGCTAGAAACAGGCCGGTAGCACCTTCCCCACACGCAGCCCAGTACGACGCGTGTGATCCATGCGCCATCCTCCAGCAGTCTGGTCATCTTCAGACTTGTCTGGTTTGGTTCGTCTTCTTCTCGTCTATTTGTTCCAAGGTTCAAATCGGTGATTAGAGACATTTTTTCTTTCGGACTATGACTACCCAAGAAAAAGGGAAGTTAGAGAGTGCTTGCTATTGCTGTTGGGCTCGAATTGCTGTCTCTTCTGCGGTTGTTTCTATAATAGACTCTAAGCTTGTTGCTTTGGATGACTCATAAAGTATCATGTCCCATAACTCAGCCTCCTCTGTGTTCAAATTGGACACTTCAGCTTCAAATTTGATTGTGAGTGATAAGGCTTCAAGCAGCGAAGCTGTTGGGACTAAGAGTTTGGAGGCTAAATTTGCAGAGCTGGAAATGCCAGATCTTAGTCCATTGAGTGTGCCATCCAGCAATGTTGCTCAACAAGGTACAACATTCCATGTTGATCATATTAGTCGTCGGATTCTAAATTCAAGGGCTTCTGATCATATGACAGGTAATACAACCTTATTTTATTCTTATACCCCTTACTATCAACCATCACGAATAAGAACAGTCAATGACAACTTCTCTATTATTGTTGGAAAGGGATCCATTAAACTTTCTGAACACATTTCTTTGAACTCAGTCCTTCATGTTCCCCCTCTTACTTGTAACCTCATCTCTATTAGCCATGCATGTCCCTAAATATTTGTGGGGGGATGCCTATGCTTGTATTTTTTAGGAGCAGGACTTGGGGTTGTATTTACCATGCATGTTGGTGATGATTAACAATGCTATGCCTTACCTCTAAGTTACATTGTGTTGCAAAGTTTTATGCCTATGCTTGTATTTTTTAGGAGCAGGACTTGGGGTTGATGATTAACAATGCTAGAGAGGAAGAAAGACTCTACTATTTTGAAAAGGATCCTTATGAAGAAAAAATATTTGTGAACCACTCAGTATGTTTTCTGATGATTGTAATGATGTTTTGTTGTGACATCGTCAGTTAGGACACCCAAATTTCTTTTATCTTCAAAATTTATCAATAAAAATACCAGTTCTTTTTCTTGTGATATTTGTGAATTGGCAAAACATTCTCGTGTTTCTTATCTTTCTACAGTCCATCATGATTCTTCTCAATTTACCCTGATATATGGGGCCCATCCGGTGAAAAAAATATTTTTGGTGCTTGTTGGTTTATAGCTTTCATAGATGACCACTCTAGGGTATGTTGGGTATACCTCCTAAAACATAAATTTGATACTGCATCCACTTTTAAAAACTTTCATGCTATGTTTCAAACTCAGTTCCAGACCTTTATCCAGATTCTTCGAACTTACGATGGTATTGAATATTTTAATTATGTTCTTGGAGACTATCTCACCCAGCATGGTATTCTTCATCAAAGTTCTTGTCCTAACACCCCTCAACAAAATGGGGTGGTAGAAAGAAAAAATAGACATCTCCTTGAAGTTGCTCGAGCCCTTGTATTTACCATGCATGTCCCTAAATATTTGTGGGGGGATGCTGTCTTGGCTGCAACATTTGATAAGAGACAATCCCAAGTTGTTTAGCTTGTCTTACCCTCGTGTCCTAAATTTTCAGTCTCTTTTATCTCGTCTTACCCACACCTTTCCTTCTTTCCGGGATGATTCTTCCCTTTCTCCCAAGTTGTTTGGCTGTGTGGCTTTTGTACATGTTTCTCCCCTCAAAGGTCCAAGCTCGATCCTAAGTGTAACACCCCAAATTCTAACAATTTATAATAGCATAAATAAATTCAATAATTTTATAAATAACAGCGGAAGTTCAAAATAATCAAATTTGGGAAGTGTTACCGCCGCACTTGTATAGGGACAAGTGCAAGGCTAACTCTATTACATTCAAATAAAAATCTAAGACTACAGTTTTTTTTTTTTTATACATAATATTTATGACAGCTAGAAATATCCGAGTCGTGATCCTCACTGCCCACAGCTAGCCCCATCCTTTGCAACATGCTTCACTGAAAATCTACTCCCCCGCAGCCGCAGGATCATTGCAGTCAAACAAATACAAAAGTCAGCAAAGCTGGTAATCCCAATCAAGATACAAAATGAGGATAATATAACCCAATATCAATCAAGACATTTATTTAAGAATAATCAACATAATCAACTCAATTAATATTTCGAATATGTCATTTATTCATAACTCAAGCAATATTTCAAATAAGTCATTTAATCATAACTCAAATCAAGTATTAATATCATTATTAATCATGTTTAAGATTATTTAGTCCATTTAGTGTATAAGGGTAATTGTCAACTAACATATTTAGCACAACATTAATCATAATATTACATAAATGGTAATATTCACAATTCAATGACATTCATCATAATCAAATCAAATGATGTTTCATTATTAATCATGTTTAAGTTCATTGTACTTAGTGGGAAGAGAACCATGGTAGACCCGGGAAACCCTGCCAGTCTACCCCGTGACCCGGGAAAAAACCACTGTTACCAGCCACGTATAATCAAAATTGGCCATAATCAATTCACATCTTCCTAGTGTGCACACCTCTTCCCAAAGTTGCTACTAGTATCCCGGGAAAAAACCACTGTTACCAGATACCACTTTGGGAAGAACGGATATAATCTTTTTCACATCAGTTTCACATCGGAGGCATAAAGCCCAAAAGTTGTGTTCATCACCTTGGGAGGTACCGTCCCAAAGCTATCCTCCCACCATTAATTTATTACAAACACACACAATCAGGAAAGATTAAATCATAATTATTTATTCTTTAAGTATTATCATCTCTAAATGAGTTACTCAAGGGCATTATAATTTTCCAAAGTATCATAATTCAAACAACTATTATCATAAATTCTCGAATTTATATAACAATTCAAATATTCAACATCCATCATAGTAAAATCCAAATCCGATCATCATAATAACTTTTCAATTTATTCAAGGATATGATAATTCAAATCTTCAACATTCATCACAGTAAAATCCAAATTCGATCCTCATCATAACTTTCCAATTTATTCAAGGATATAATAATTCAAATCTTCAACATTCATCATAGAAAAATCCAAATTCAAATTAAATTTTAAAAAAACAAATACCTACATATATAGAAATGTTCATACCAAACTATTAAGAACATCTACGGATTACATATAAGGATTATGCCCAAATTTCATATAATAGAGATAACCTAAACACCTAGGGATTCAGATTACATCAAAGTTTTATATATAAGAAATAACCTACGAATAGGATTACACAACAAATCTACAACCACCTAGAGATTAGGATTACACATACCAAATTTCACATAAAATAAATATAATCTAAAAATACCTAAGGATTAGGATTACACATACCAAATTTCACATAAAATAAATATAATCTAAAAATACCTAAGGATTAGGATTACCTAGTCTCCGTTTTTGCTAACTTCTAGAAGAGAATAAATTGGGGCAGAGAACCGGTTGGTAACCAAAAGAATATAGAAAATAAAACAAATAAACTTTTGAAGTAAGGAGAGAGAGTAGTAGAGGAGAAATGTTGAAGAGTGAATTGGTTTGGTTAGGCTAGACCTCTATTTATAGTTGAAGTTTTGGACTCAGATATGGGTTTCGTGCATTACTGACTCAATGCTGACTCATTATTGACTCGTCATATCTAATCAAATTACCAATCAACATTATCAATCAATCATTACCAATTAAACATTATCAATCAATCATTACCAATCAAACATTATCAATCAAACATTAATGCTTAAATCATCAATCAATTAATAATCCAATTAATTACAATTTATCATCTAATATATATATATATATTTATATATATGTGTACATATTAATATTATGTTATTATAAATAATTTAGAGTATTACAAAGTATCAAAATTATTTTCCAATAGCATTCATATCGCACAAAATAATTTTATCA